TGGCATGTTGCGGTAACAGCTGCTTTCAGAAATAGTAATTTTAAGGTGTTTGCAGGTTCGGGGCATGGATTTTGCAACCTTAGCTAAAGTGTCCTGTGCCAACTGCATGTTTTGTGGAGACACAGCTGTATGTACAGGTGTGAATCCCAAGGTACTGAATACAGAACTTTTTTAAGGTTGTAGCTGAAGGATAAGAAATTTGCAACAAGTATTTTTCACCCTGGAAACCATGTACTTCATTTCCATGGTACTAATATCAGTTTAGACTTAATGTTGGCTATCATGTAAGGGAAAGTGTTACCATATTGTCTTGTATAACACACACCCTCCCCCCTGACTAAGATACTCATTTTGTTTTCAGATGGTGGAATGAAAAAAACCTGATTCTTCACTGCCTGAAAGATCGTAACTGCCTTGTACTCTTCCTGATAGGATGTGCTAACAGGGTTAATGGAGCAGCCACCCTTTTGTGCACCTGGACTGCAGTTGCCACCAAAATTCATAGCCAACCAGTGAATACATGAAAACACAAGCAGTAAAGGGGAAACAACCACCTGTGGCTGCTCTATTAACCCCCTAGCTGCTGGCCATAGATGATTCCTCCTTCAGCAGCAGTGTTTGCAGCAGCAGTGTCTGCCTTGAAATGGGGAGAAAGAGAAAATATCCCTGCATGTGCTGGGCAGGGGCCAGCACAGTTAGCACACAGGATTGCCTAGTGGCTGGCCCTGTTTCCTCATTAAAGTCACACATGCTTCAATTTGGTGGATGGGTCATTTTCGACCTGGAGGGATGTGGGCAGTGGGGTCCCCCAGGGCTCGGTCCTTGGGCCCGCACTGTTCAACACCTTCATCAGTGACTTGGACGAGGGGGTAAAAAGCACCCTGTTCAAATTTGCTGATGACACTAAGATGTGGGGGAATGTGTGCACGCTAGAAGGGAGGAATAGGCTGCAGTCAGACCTAGACAGGTTACAGAGGTGGGCAGATGAGAACAGGATAGGATTCAACATGGACAAGTGCAAGGTGCTGCACCTGAAGAGGAACAACCAGCACCATACCTACAGGTTGGGGTACTCCCTTCTTGTCAGTACAGAGACAGAAAAGGATCTTGGAGTCATCATTTACTCCAAGATGAACATGGGCCAGGAGTGTGGGGATGCAGTTAGGAAGGCCAACCGCACTTTGTCATGCATCCACAGATGCATCTTGAGCAGGTCCAGGGAGGTGATCCTCCCCCTCTATGCGGCACTGGTCAGGCCGCAGCTGGAGTACTGCGTCCAGTTCTGGGCGCCGCACTTTAGGAGGGATGTGGACAACATGGAGAGGGTCCAGAGGAGG